ACTCAATTTCAATTTATCTTAGAATACATGACAAAAATGAACATCGTCTAAGCGTTCTTATTCTTTCAACTTATTCTAACCACATGCAATACCCACAAACCACATTCTTGAAAGCTAGCCCGCAAAACATTTTATAAGATCCAACAAAACCAAAAAGAAATGAAAAAACTGAAAAAAGAAGAGATCGAATTAAGGCAAAATGTCGATAGCCTAAATCTTTGCTGTCAAAATCAGCTTTTAATTAAAAAACTAAGTTCAAGCGGCAACAAAGCCGACAAACATTGAGTAAACGAAGGTTTAGCGGGGAACAAATGATGAATTTAAAAAATTTGTACGTTAAAAAATTGAAACTCAAACTTTCTACTCCCCAACACCCATTCCGATGCACAAAAGGATCGGGAACCATTTCAATTTCTAACTTGGTAATCACTCCGAAATACTAGACATCGCTACCAATCAAGCCGAATAAACATTTTAAGGGGAAGAAAGACAAAATCAGGGCTGTTGAATTCGAAACTTCAAAATTTAAAGGAATTGATCAAAATGACAATGAACACAAGGCGAAAAGGGGCCTTGCTTGCACCACTTTACAATACAACGAAAACATAGCATTGCAAGTTAGCACACGGATAATAAACAAAAAATACAAAGTAGAGGACATCTGAAAAAAAACACTTCGAAGACTTCGATATTTAGTCGAAATTGACAAAGCTTAAAAAAAACTCCGGTGCTGATTAATCTTTCAGAAATACTTATCAAGCGGTGAGTCAAAAACAAAACTTGTCAATCAAAACGGAAACGTAACTCGTCAAGCAACAACAAAATTTAATTCGATTACTATCAATAGTTCCCATCAAAGGAGGCATAAGAAGGTCACCAAACTTCACAGCAAAAAACAATGCAAAAACAAATCAACAGAAACTGAACTGACAATTGAGTTAAAAATTTAAAGAAGTCAATGACTCGGTTTGATAATTTGCTGACCTGAAAAACTAATTACTCCATTTTCATAAAGTTAGATCATTGAACGGTCAAAAATCACAAGTCAAATCGCAAAAAAAAACTTGAAATAAAACCAGGGCTTGTAAAAACACCTAATTTAGGATAGCTGAAAAAATACTAAGTTTTTCATGCTATGGTAAACCTGAAGGTAAATTTGACTTTCGAAACTAAAAGTCGATCACGTTTTTTGTTACCTTTACACATTCGTAATTAGAGAGCTAAACTTGACTTTCTTTCTCCGATTAAATTGAATTGGATTCATATAGCGCATAAAAACCTAGGAGCATTCATGAACGAATTAATACGTATAAATGCACTTCGGTAAAATCTTAAAGCATTTTAAGACTTCGCCTGAAAAAAAATAAATCATCACGAATCACGTTCATCGACTCTAAAAAAATTCAGCTGAAAATTCGCTGAACTTCGTGAAAGTATCTACTTTGACATCCCCTTCGTTTAGAATTTTTCAACCTCTTTGTGAAAACTTCTACAAAATAACCACATCGAACCCGAATATTTGGTCACCCATATCGCAGGCAAAACAGGAAAAAAAACGGTTAACAGTGAGTTGGCGAAGTATCCGGGAACAAGAAAACGAACGCAGCGGCAACAAACATAGGAAATAAAAAATGAAGACAAGGAAAGCGGAAAACATTTATTGTTGAGAAAGAAAAAACAATTTTTCAAAAAAGATTAAACCATAATCTTAGATCTCTTAGAAGATTTTATTTCAAATAAAGACAACGCCATTTAAAAAAACTTTACGTTAATGATTTACACTTGGAACAAAAATTAACCCAAATTGAAAAGATTGGATCTAGATATAAAATTTCTATTTGCCTTGATATTCTGAAAACAATCATCTACTTTTGAAATCAGAAAACAATCAATTTTTATCGCGATTTCAGCTTTCGTCATGCAAAATTTTCAAAAACTTGAACTTCTCTTTGCAATCGTAAACACAAATCATTTAAAATCGACCTTTTTCTTCACAGGACGCATGAAAAGGTCTTTTAACCAATAATATATTAACCAAAACAATCATAGCGAATCAACCACGTTCGGCAACACCAAAACATCAGGTGAAAACTCTTTAATTTCATGAATGGACCTACTTGATAACACTCTTCGTTTTGAACTAACCTTCCTTGTATCAAAGTCAAAGAAACTTCTGAAAAAACCACCTCACCGAGCAAAAACTCACGGTTCCCCGCTTTGCAGGCGGCACAGAAAAAACAACTAACAGTGAATTGGAGAAAACTTCATGAGCAAAGCCAACAAAAATGGAAAAAACACTGAACTCAAGAAAACCCGAAAAAAAAATAATTTTCGAGTTTCAAAAAAAGATAAAATCATCTAAGAGCACCGAAAAATGCTTTGTGATTGACCCTTTTGTAGAAAAAATAACCCAAAATGAGTTACTTGAAACTAGATTTGAAAGTTCTATTTAACTTTAAATTCTGAAAACAATAATTTATTTTTGAAAGCAGAAATCAACATTTTATTGCCATAATAGTTTTTGTTAGAGGTCCGAAAAAAATGAAAAAATCTTCAAATATTTCGCAACTTTTTCCGCTATTATTTCTTACTCAAGAAAATACGCCCCGAAAAACAATTAACGGCGTTGAAAAAGCCTTTAGATGCAATTATCGAAACTGCGTCAAAACGAAAACTGCGTGCAAAACTTTCGAAAATTCATGAAATTCCTTTTGCACTCCTAAACACAAATCGTTTAAAATCAACTTTTTTCTTAAAAAAACGCATGATAAGAAGACCAAACTAGTAAAAGAAAAACCAAAATAATCATAGCGAATCACGTTTTATGACAAGACAAAATCATCAAGTGGACACCCTTTGAACTTCGCGAATGGATCTACTTGGTTATACACTTAGTTTTGAAATTTTAACTTCCCTGGTACAAAGCCAAGGAAATTTCTGAAAAAATACAACGAGCACAAGATCTCGGTCGCCCGCTTTGCAGGCGGAACAGAAAAAAAACAGCAAACAGTGACTTAGAGAAGTGTCATGAAAAAAAAACGGAACCAAAGCCTTCAGACAGAAAAAAAAAACAATGAAATCAAAGAAACCGGAGAAAATTTAATATTGTGAAAGAAAATTAAACTTTCTGGTTTTTAAAAAAAAGATTATATCTCAGAGCTCTCAAAAATCTTTTATGATTGACCTTTTATTAACAAAATGAACCAGAATTGGGATAGACCTAGATTAAAAAATTCTAATTGCCTGAAAATTCTGGATAAAATGTAATCAACTTTTAAAAGCAGAAACCAATAATTATTATCGCCATTTCAGCGTTGGTTATTGAGGTCTCAAAACTTCCAAATAACACTTAAAACATTTCAAAACTATCTCCAATTGTTATAAAGTCGAGCGGCAACTAAGCCAACAAGTATTAGATATACTCCTGTTGAGCCGGAAAAGAAACTGTTGTTATGCAAAAAAACTTAAATTTGAAACTCAACGCACTACAAAAACACAAAAATATCAAACTCAATTTTTGCCTTCTACGAGCTTAAAATGAGGTGAATTAATCGACAAAACAAGAACTAAATCAATTAAAGCAAACAAAATTCTGCAAAAAATGATGTCCAACTTGAAATCTGTTATATAATTTGCTTACCTGGAACAGATTAGATGATATTCCGGATTTATTAGGCTTGTTTAGTGAAACCGTTAAACACCAAAAGACACTGCAAAAAAAACAATTTCGAGGTTGAACGCAATCCGGAGTCTTTACTGAAAACAGGGAAAAAACCAACACGCCTTATTAACGTCTTCACGAAAATCATTAAGACTCCCAACAAAAGTTCCCTTCAACAATTGGAAAAAAAGATTGGTTTTCAAACTAATTTCAATTTCGAAAAACACAAAGTTAAAGCTCTCTGAATTTCAAGAATGGATCAGCTGAAAAATCTCGTCTTTTTTGAAATTTATAAAATTCCTAGTTAGAAATTATGTAAGGTGAAAAAAAATCAGCAGGGCATAAATACTTGGTCGCACTCTGTGAAGCCCTAACAGACAAAAATACAGTCAAAAGAAAGTTGGAGAAGTGTCAATGAACAAGATAAGGGGCGGGGCGCCAATTCAGAGACGAAAAAAGTGCATGAGCTCTAAGAAACCGGAAACAAATAAACAACAAGAAAATAATTCACCTTTCGATTTTCAAAAAAAGGAAAAAATCATTCAAGAGTTCTCCAAAATCTTAAATGGTTGACCTCTGGTAGAAAAATATCCCAATTTGAGACAACTAGATCGAGAGAAGGAAATTAAACTTCGCTTGAGATTCTGAAAATTACTATCTATTTTTGAAAGCAGGAGTGATACAATTTAATTCCTAATTCAATTTCAATTAATCTTTAAATAGCGACCAATGGAACATCGCCTCTGTATGTACGATTGCACTTTTATTCTTTGGAAAATTATAGCACCTCCGCCACCTCTGTATGTATGATTGCATTTCTGTAAAATTTTAGAGCATCTTAAGACTTTGCTAAACGCAAAAGAAAAAACATCTCAATAACAATCTAGTTAAACACAATCGGGTGAGTGAAACAAAGATTTTCAAACACTTGAGCTTCCGGAAGGAGGGATCGCGGGCGTAAAAAAACTCGAAATTCAAAGCTTCCTATTCCAAAATACATTTGAGCTTCCGAAAGGAGGGGTGGTGGGAGTAAAGAAACTCGAAATTCAAAGCTTCGTATTTCCAAATTCAAAGCTTCCAGAAAGAGGGATGGGGGCGTAAATAAATTCGAAAATCAAAGCTTTCTATTTCAAATTTTGAGAATAGTAAATGGGTGAAGAAAGTCAACGAATTATTTATATATATCAATTTTTATAATACTGAGCGGAAAAAAAAATTGATCTACAGATCCAGAGTTCTGGTTAATATTTTGGTTGGTTTCTATGCCTAAGGCGATAGATAAGGTTGGGTCTCTTATTGTTATACTTAAAACCAAATGATCAAAATAGCCTACACTCACCGATGCTGGCTAATGTCAATAATCTTATTTTTCTGAGCAGATCTCCCTGGTCAAAAGAGCTTTCCTCCAGGAACGTTTTATTCAGCCCCTCAAACTTCTGGTATTCTGTCAAATTCTTGTTCACGAAAATATCCAACAACTCGTATATCTTAGTTCCTTTAAGAGCCTCTACGGGTTTCAAACCAATCAGGTGGTCGAATAAATACACATTTGGGTTCTTCAGCTCTGCCTCGACACATCTGATTGAATCTTCTCTAGCTTCGCCTGCTTTTTCACCCGTGTATGAGCTGAGAAGCTCGTACATGGTCTTGGCGGCCAGCGCACCTTCATTGCACGTAATTAGAGTTTCATGGAGCAATCTAATAAAAAAGCCATGTAATAAATGATACCTCCCATTTCGCGTGTCAAATAATTAGAAAACATCAAAATAACATTGGAAATCTCATAGCAATACAAGCTCCAGAAAAAAAAGTAGGACGCTTTGTTGAAACTTAAATTTTTAACAATTCTCTCAGTCATCTCAGCTCAAGCAACAAGGAAGCCATCATACGGTAAAACAATCGGGTTGCTAGCTGCTGAGATTTCATAAAGATAAACAAATATCTTGAAGATAAAACAAATAAAAATAACGTTCAGAACCATGAGCTAAAGATACTACGTCGTAACTTTTCTATGAGCTTAACCGATTAAAATTGATGGTTATCGCAAATAGAGAAGGAGAACAAAAATAACATAAACCTTAGGACTCATCCCTTAAAGAGCTGAAAAAATAACGCAAAAGAAATTGAATCGATTCCCTGTGAACTTCCTAACACTTCTATAGCTCCTAACGATAATTTGCAGTCATACTTTAAAAAAACTCTCATAAATCCAACAAGAATATTACATCTCGATTTGTTATTGGTCGAAAATTGAGCCAAAGAATACACTTAGTCGCAGTAAACCACGTGGAAAACAGTGAATTGGTCTCGTCTCACAATGGTTGAATATATCTGCTTAATTTTTGGATTGAATTGGCGAGCTAGAAAACTTTCGTTTAAGTATGCGAAAGCGAGGGAGTGGACGTAAACAAATTTCAATAATCTCAAATATTTCGCAAAATTTTCTAAGACAAATAAAACTCTGTCAATTTTTCCACGACAACAGGTGCTACCCCCCTAGTGAGGGAGACGCCGAATTTCGAACTCAATTTTTTTTTTTGAACAAACTAAAATTTAGACTCTTTTTTGACAACAGGTTTTAAGCCTAGCCGTGTCACTTTTTGGCAATTGCCGACCCTCGTTTCTTTTTGCATCGGCTCAAAAGGGTTCCGGTGTCTGTAAGACTTGGGATTTCAATTTTTAGCAATAACACACAATTTTTAGATACCCTATTGGAAAAAAAACTGAAAAAATGGTCTATAAAAATTTGGTGCCAGGCAAATGTCAGTTTTTGGTCGTTTTATGGTTTGCAGAAAAAGGGTCAAAACAGGTGTTCTTGGGCACTATTTTTATATTTTTGGAAAGCCCTGCTCATGCCGTTTCTGAATATGTATCAATTGTTGAGATAAGATGAATATTTAAAACTTTAGGGCTATTTAAGTCTATCGTAATTTAAGCACCAGGTTCGAAATTTTTTTCAAGTCTGTTTCTCATCGAAAAATTATCCAATTTTTGAAAACTCAACGGTTTTGATGGTTTCTCGAGCTAAATTTACCGACCGGACTATAAAGAAAAGTTTTTAGGGCTAGCGTTCAAACCCTAAACGAAAAATCTGCAATAAAGTGTACTTACTCTGACAACCCGACTTTGATCGAGGTGATTCAGCTTCGAAAGAATTGACCAATAAGTTTTCTAAAAAAAATGACCTCTAAGTCCTATTTTGAACGAGGAACACGATAGTGTTGTTATTTTTTTGATTAAAATTTGTTTGGACTTATTTTCCACAATTTTAGTTTTTAGCCCTAGAGATGTCACTTTTTGGCAGAGAAAAGCAAACTTAGGTTTAGTGTTTAGCCTAAGGTTGTTTTCAATGCTGATGTTTTTTAAATTATACACACCCTATGTCTACTCGTTGGAAAGAGCTTTCCAGTGAGCACTTATTTGCTAAAATGCGATTTTTAGAACTTGAGAAATTCAAATTTGAGCCAAGGTGAAATTTTTGGGTCTGGGGATAATTCGGCTCACGTTTGATTTTCTCATCACTCATTTGATATTTAAGGATGAAAATATTCATGTGAAATCTCCTTGAGTTGTATAGTATACCTTAATAAAGAAAAAAATGAAAAAAAATTTTTTTGGGTCATTTTACGAGCTTCAATTTTGTAGTGAAAACTGATACAATCCAACATGCGTCCGATGAGATGAAACTTCATTGATCCATTCAATTTGGACATGAAAGCAGTAAAACGGGTCCTCATATATGTCTACTACACTTTGGAAGTGTTTCAGATCAAAAATTATGCATGAAAACAATTTGCTTGCTTAAAAACTATGAAAATTGAAAAACCAATTTTTTTTAAAAGTCGAATTTTGGCTGAGAACTAGCCTTTGGTCAGCTATAATACATTAAAAACAGGAATTTTATTTGTCTTCCACATTTAGGCACTAATGAGGGTTTTTCAATGAGTCCTTGTTCTTCAATGAGATTAAACTTCACTGACGGATTTACTCTGATCATCAAACCTATAAAAAACGATTCCCATAGATGTCTCATACAATTTAGAAAAGTCTCAGATAAACTTTTAGCTTCAAACTATAGGTGGCTAAAGCAAATATGATGAATTTTGACAAGATAGTTGAAATTTTTCAGTAAAAATCAAACTTTGGCGAAGATTTATTAGCCTTTGATTAGCTATAAAACGTTTTAACTGTATGTTTTTTTTATTTTACACGTCTAACCAATGATATTACATTTCAAAAGATTCCTTGTTCATCATCATAATGCAACATTTAAAAATTGAGTAAAAACGACGTCCAACTTGAAATCTGTTATATAATTTTCTTACCTGGAACAGATTAGATATTCCGGATTTATTAGGCTTGTTTAGGGAAACCGTTTAAATACCAAAAAACCCTGCAAAAAAAAACAATTTCGAGGTTGAACGCAATCCGGAATCTTTACTGAAAACAGGGAAAAAACCAACACGCCTTATTAACGTCTTCACAAAATCATTAAGACTCCCAACAAAAGTTCCCTTCAACAATTGAAAAAAAGATTGAATTTCAAACAAATTCCAATTTTGAAAAACACAAAGTTAAAGCTATCTGAAGTTCATAAACGGATCAGCTGAAAAATCTCGTCCTTTTTGAAATTGATAAAATTAGAAATTATGGAAGTTATAAAAAAAACCAGCAGGGCAGAAATACTTGGTCGCACTCTGTGAAGCCCTAACAGACAAAAATACAGTCAAAAGAAAGTTGGAGAAGTGTCAATGAACAAGATAAGGGGCGGGGCGCCAATTCAGAGACGAAAAAAGTGCATGAGCTCTAAGAAACCGGAAACAAATAAACAACAAGAAAATAATTCACCTTTCGATTTTCAAAAAAAGGAAAAAATCATTCAAGAGTTCTCCAAAATCTTAAATGGTTGACCTCTGGTAGAAAAATATCCCAATTTGAGACAACTAGATCGAGAGAAGGAAATTTAACTTCGCTTGAGATTCTGAAAATTACTATCTATTTTTGAAAGCAGGAGTGATACAATTTAATTCCTAATTCAATTTCAATTAATCTTTAAATAGCGACCAATGGAACATCGCCTCTGTATGTGCGATTGCAATTTTATTCTTTGGAAAATTATCGCACCTCTGTATGTATGATTGCGTTTCTGTAAAATTTAAGAGCATCTTAAGAATGTGCTAAACGCAAAAGAAAAAAACATCTCAATAACAATCTAGTTAAATACAATCGGGTGAAAGAAACAAAGATTTTCAAACACTTGAGCTTCCGGAAGGAGGGATCGCGGGCGTAAAAAACTCGAAATTCAAAGCTACCTATTCCAAAATACATTTGAGCTTCCGAAAAGGGTGGTGGTTGGAGTAAAGAAACTCGAAATTCAAAGCTTCGTATTTCCAAATTCAAAGCTTCCAGAAAGAGGGATGGGGGCGTAAATAAATTCGAAAATTGAAGCTTTCTATTTCAAATTTTGAGAATAAAAAATGGTGTGAAGAAAGTCAACGAATTATATATATATATCAATTTTTATAATACTCAGCGGAATAAAAATTGATCTACAGATCCAGAGTTCTGGTTACTATTTTGGTTGGTTTCTATTGCTAAGGCGATAAGGTTGGCTTTGTAGTTATTATACTTAAAATCAATTGATCAAAATAGCATACACTCACCGATGCTGGCGAATGTCAATCTTATTTTTCTACCATAAATTCTCCCATAAATTTAACAAGAATAATACATCTCGATTTAATATTGGTCGAAAATTGAGCCAAATAATACACTTAAGTCGCAGTAAACCAAGTGGAAAACAGTGAATTTGTCTCGTCTCACATTGGCTGAATACATCTGCTTAATTTTTGGATTGAATTGGCGAGCTAGAAAACTTTCGTTCAAGTATGCGAAAGCGAGGGAGTGGACGTAAACAAATTTCAATAATCTTCAATATTTCGCAAACTTTTCTAATACAAATAAAACTCTGTAAATTTTTCCACGACAACAGGTGTTACCCCCTAGTGATGGAGATGCCGAATTTCGAACTCAAACTTTTTTTTGCACAAACTGAAAGTTAGACTCTTTTTTGACAACGGGTTTTAAGCCTGGCCGTGTCATTTTTTGGTAAGTGCCGACCCTCGTGTTTTTGCATCGGCTCAAAAAGGTTCCCGGTGTCTGAGAGACTTGGGATTTCAATTTTTAGCAATAAGACACAACTTTAAGACAACCTATTGGAAAAAAACTGAAAAAAAAACGGTCTAAAAAAATTTGGTGCCAAGCAAATGTCAGTTTGGGTCAATTTATGGTTTGCAGAAAAAGGGTCAAAACAGGTGTTCTTGGGCAATATTTTTATTTTTTTTGGAAAGCCCTGCTCATGTCGTTTCTAAATATGTATCAATTTTTGAGTTAAGATGAATTTTTGAGAACTCAACGATTCTAGTGGTTTCTCGAGCTAAATTAACCAACTGGACTAAAAAAAGTTTTTAGGGCTAACTTTCCAACCCTAAATCAAAAATCTACAATAAAGTGTAGTTACTCTAACAATCCGACTTTGATCGAGGTGATTCAGATTCGAAAGAATTGACAAATAAATTACTAAAGAAAAATGACCTCTAATAATATCATGTCTAGGCCCTATTTTGAACAAGGAACACGATGGTAATGTTATTTCTTTTATTCAAATAATTTTGGAGTTATTTTCCACAACTTTAGTT